ACTTTATCAAAACTAGTTCATCAGTTTAGGAGCTATGATGCCACAGATAGAAACAAATATAAACATATATACAGATACCTACTACGAAAATATAACACCCCTCTGTTTTCGAGGGTCAACAATCGGAAGGAATGTAATAATTTACATTGTTGTCTTACCAGTTTACAGTACTTCTTAATTCAAATATTTAATGTAAGATAAAACATTATTTTATGTAAGATGGTTCCTTTCTTTATGGGTGTATCGGGAGATAACGACACATTCTCTCGTCACGTATACTTCAAAACTTGAAACAAATAATATACAACCAGTGCATAAGCTCAAGATCTCTCAAAGAGCTATAGATATGGGAGAAGAATATGCTCGGAGCTTCTATGCGTGATAGTATTTGAAATGAGGATAGCAGACTACCGATGAGGAGGAAAGGTTCGTGTACGGGCAGGCGAAGTGTAGGACGGCCTTGTGATAAAGAGATGGTCTGGTAAGACATCAGGGAAGTCAATGCATGCAGTTTGCTCAGAACCGTGTATTGTGGCATTTGTGTGTGAGGCATATGTTCAGCTTGTGAAAGGCTGTAATGATGATAGTGATGATGAGGCAAGTTAATAGAGATAAAAATAATCAAGATTCACGTCGTATGTAAGACAAATGTATAATATAATTTTTAACAATGGTGTCAATTATGCTTTTTTGTACTGAAAAGTAAATACAATTTTTCTATAGGTAATGACTTTGGTGTCGAAGTGTATACAATATTGAGCAAAAAATTTGGCTAGTTAAATTAATACGGTAAGTAAACTATAATCCTACTACTAAGTAAAAATAAAGATGTCTTTATCTAAAATTTTAAAATATAAAATCTAATATGATTTATTAAAAAAGAATAATAAAGAAGTGTTTATATTAAACTAATAGCTTCATTTATAAATTGAGATCGGTAATTATACAAAAACCAAGCATGAAATATATCTATAAATAATATGTAAATAATCTATATTTATATGACCAATAAAACAGTTTTGAAGCTTAGCTTGGATTTCACTAATTTTTACAAAGAAAACATAAACAGCATTATTCTGACGAAATTTTTCCTAGTGGAATTTCGAATTTTAGTCTAAAATGCTACAGGAGCAAATCTCAATATGAGCACAGAATACATAACAGTACAGATAAAATGAGGATAACATTTTGTTTCCTCCTGTTTAAAAAAAACTTTTAAAATTCTAAAGTAATTTTTCAGAATTTTAGTGTTTAGGTTTGTATTATGATAAACAATGTATATTGATAGGGATAAAGAAGAAAACGTGGAAATGGGTAATACAAGAACACGCCACGCTATTACGTAACAGACTGCCTTGAATAGTTAAACGTTACAATTGTACTTAAAATGATTAAATACTACGTTATGACTTCAACTTAAATATCAATAAGAGATATACATTATAATCTAAACATCTTTTAATTCTAGATCCTTACAATATGGCAGTTGTTGAATTGCTAGCTGGGTTGTTATTTAAAACATATATGATCTCTTTTTGTTAAGAACATAAGCACGGAATTTCGTTGCTTTAAAAAATTATAATTTAATTTGCTAACAATGACATTATGATGTTTTATCACAACCATTATTGCCATAAAAATATGAGTAATGTATTTGGTGGTTCAATTTGCAGGTACGTCACGTATAATAATAAAAGACGTCTAGGTATGGAAGCCGAAATAAATATATTGCATAAAACTCATAAGTACATTTAAATAAATTTCTTAGAAGATTTGGCAAGAAAATAATATTTTGCTACTTATTTTTAATTTCATTTAACATCTGACTCGCGCACTCTTATCGTTATTTAAATATCTGAATGCCGTATAGAAGAATATTAATATATAGCCAAAAACAACATAGAAGTTAACTTAATAATGCAGCACTTAATATGACACTTAATCAGATCTAGCACACATTTAAGCATTGAGATCTACATTCCATGTTATGAAATGTAAAGAGGTATTATCAAAAAATCTATGCACAATTTTTTTGCAATAGCTCGGCAAAACTGGATAACTGAATGTATGCATTTAGATATCCAATTGTTGCTGATATCCAAATGCATACATTCAGATATCCAGTTGTTGCTGAACTGACTGAGTTTTTAGTTTTTGATCTTCGTAGCTGTCACCCGGAAATTATCTATTATTTACTGTTTGCTAAATGGCTATGAATGCATGAATGTATGCACGTATAAATTTAAAAATATATAGGCACGCAGATAAAAGTATTCGTATGTGCGTGAACATTGTTTTAGAGCACCAAGTACAGTTACAGGTAGAAGACGCAACGACTGACGACACATGCTTAGAGCGAATTCGTATTTATTGGATCTCTTTTACTTGGGATTGGCACATTCTGAAGTAAGGTATCCCACAAAGACAATTTTTAGTCGAATCCATTATAAGTCGTATTTTTATCATATTTTTACCTGAATCAAAAAATATAATTTGTATCATATATTACAACGCCGAAGCTCGGTAACTTCAAGTGACAAGACACGCCGCGTTTGTTAACGTAAAAATTACAACGAAACTTAGACACCTTAAACTTATATTTATTACTTAGGTATATCTTAACAAATTCTCCACTTTATAACTATATTCTCACCGTAAAAAACAATTTCGATATAAACGATCACATTATACAACAATAATATTTAATAAAATTCGTATGTACACACCAGAACATTGCTTCAATTTCGAAATTCCTATATGTAAAATATATTTATATAACTTTTTACATATATTTACATAATATCTTTTATACTTAAAGAATAATATTGCAGCTCGGAGCCTTGTATTTGTTTTGCAAGAACTTTCCATTCTCCGAAACATTAAATCTTTCCAAACCATCATTTCGAGTCATAGAGGAATTTTTACATGTGAAAAATATATTTTCCAGGTTTCGATCAGCACCGTATCTTTGAGTTATTTAGACGACGTTAGTTTTTGTCCGACAACAGCGAAGAAAACTTAAACACTTTTACATGTGTGCGATTTGTTCAAAGTCTGTGTTATAAATTATAATTCTGAAAAATTAATAATTACTTATTTTTAATGTTACTTACATATTTCATTCGTCATAGGTCAAATATCACCGTAATCCAACATGGCGTAAACAAGATGCAATTTTTTTCTAGTCATTGTTTGGTTTAAGTTGTGGAATCTAAGTAGTTATCTTGTTGTTAGTTCCGACAACCTTGATCTTTCCAAATCCAGTTTCTTTCAGCACTCCCTTTACTGACATATTTTCTTATCCAAACGTGTTATAACGGCGCATACTTTAAGAGAAGGCGTTTCGCGTGGCGTTAGCTATGTTGAGTATGAGTATTGTCTCCTTGTTCTTAACGGGCCCTTTTTGTAAACAATACAGATATGTTCATAAAAATTTAAGTCTACTTTGTAGTCTTTTAGTCGAATTTGAGATACTTACTCACTAATTCATATTATAATGCATTTATATGGGTACATGCACTATGAAGTTCAAATTTGTTAAACCTAATAATTCAGTCAATATAATATGTAACACGTAGTGATAAATATCACTGAATGGATTGATATCGACTGGACGATTCCAAGTCAATTTTACTCTCGAATTTCTGAACAGTGTGAAAACGTTGTTCATTATCCAGCTGTCGAAGTATGTACTCAAAAACACATGCAAAGGTGTGGACGGAATTTATTTATTACGCTCACGTAATAGTGTTTTACAACAAATCTCTGATGAGCCAACAAAATTTCAGTGGGAAGCCTATTAAATTAAAAACTAAATACCATTGTGTTTCTATGAGTAGCTAGTTTACTGAGTAAATGATATAATAAACTCTGTTCTCATTACAAGATTCATTAACTAATTCTATAAAGATTAAATTATAAAGTTTGAAAAATACTTAGCACTCCTGCATTAGGCTGCCTTTCACCAGACATTTGAGAGATGCGAGCGTGCGAAACGAGGGAGGAAAAAGCTTTCTTTCAAAGCTTAGTTACTCTTCAGATCTGGTAAAAAGGGTTTCAATGTAGCGAAGTTTTTTATGTAGTTGCTGAATCGAGGGATGTAGGTGGTAAATGAATAATTCTGCGGAAGGTACGGAGCAGAGCTGCATAAAGACGCGTATGTATATTGTACGCTCCTTTACCACAGTGCATCGCATAACGTTTTCGTGCGTCTTCATAGCACCGATATTTCTCTCCTATTTTATCCGCCGTGCTGCACTATTCAGCTTTTTTGAAAAGAAACACATTCTTTCCATGCTTAGAGAACGATTCTCACACAACGTTTATATGCACAACTCTAGTAGAAAGACAACCTTAGCGTAGCTTCTATCCTTTTTTAAATCGATTACATCGAATAACTTTCAAAATGGAGTGCCAACGTTTACATTTATAAATTAACACACTTTATTTTCAAAAGAATTGAGAAAATATATGTAACTGACAAAGTAATGTCTTGTAGTATTTGTATTAGAAGTACTTTATAAATTAATGCTATATTTGACGCCATCAAAACACATTTCGTAACGATTTATGATTAGAAAAACAATAGTTTTCACACTGTTTCGTCAGTCAAAACTTAGATCTAACATCTTATATCTAGAGTTCACAGTCTCCGGTCGACATCACCCATGTTTTGGTGTATCGAGAAAGGCAACTGTGATGTCCTACAAAAATACGTGGGCAATGTCCATAATGCAGTCAAATATGAGCCACATTCAAAGAGAAAAATATGTCTCCCTTATTATTAATAATCAATATAATATATTATATACTTCGTATATTCTTATAATTAAATTCAGTTCAATAATACCTCAATCTATCCTTATTTACAACTCACAAACACTCACGGAATAGTTTACGAGGCTTTGCACGTCAACAGTTCGGAAACTATCCGACTTACAATAATTCTTAGTCATTTGAGATGCAAAAGGGTGCGCGCGGGAGCGACCAATCTGCGAGCGCTATTCGTTGAAGCGCGTACACGCTTTCTTCCATTTGCACTGTGTACACCAAAGGTCACGTTGATCCATGCCGTACACTTTGCGGCACTTCTTGTTATCAGACCGCGGCCGCCGCCCCGGACTACCTGGCGACCCGCTCATTGCAGACAGCCGCATATGTTTCTGAAAAATTTATGAATGTTGCTTGTTACATATACTACTTAAAGGTCAAATTTAATTAAAATATCGAAATCCGTCATACCGGTGAGTGCGAGGTGGACCAGGCGTGGGTAACTGGAATACTTATGGGCCTAGCGGAGGCGTTGTGCATTGTAGAGAGCAGCCCTTGCCTGAAAAAGACATGCAAATTATATCGGCAAGCAATAACTATCTTAATAAAAATGTTAAGGTACTCAAACTCTTGTTACATAGACAAACAGAAATAAGAAACAAATCACCTATAGGAACCGACAAGCTGTCGTTGATAGTCCGGATCCTCGTGTGGCGGTCTGCACATGTCTTGGTGGGACAACGTGGGTGGTGGCGGCGGTACTGTTACCTCGCGTTCTGTGTAGTAGAATTCCTCCTCGTGATCACTCTCCCCCTCTTTCTTCGGCCTGGAATAAATTAAAATATTGACTATTTAGCTATATCGTATATAAGTGGTAGAGCCACGTTGCAGCTATGTTAGTTGTAGTAAGTCAATCAAATGCGCCTTATTAAAGATAACTCAAAAACTACTGGTCAGATCTTGATCAAATTTATATGGGACCACCAGATTTCAATTAAAAAAAGAATCATCAAAATCGGTTAGCCCGGAGAAAAATTGTTACGACCGATGTTAATTAAATGCTGGATCGATAGAGCCCGCTTCTTACTGTAATTTGGGCCGTGGTAAGGAGAGGATAAACGTCAAAATTTATATATGTAGTAGTCTTTGATTATATACCTACTACCTCAAAATAAGTATATATAGAAAAAATTTAAATGTCAAATGAGTTCTTAATCTAATGGGAAATATTCAAGAGCTGGTATCACTCAGCTCGCCCCCGAGTTACGCAGCGCGCTTATTAAACGATAATAGTTAAGCATACTTGTGTGCGTTATAAGCACACAAGCGCTCGAAATCGAGCCCGTTGTTTTTGTTGCGATTCTAGCGCAACACTCTATCTAGACAGGTATATAATCAAAGGTAGTAGTGTAGTACCTATAAAAAATTTCAAAACTTATTACAATATTTATATTTGCGGTGGGGAGTAGGTGCATGGCTATTGCGGTCACGCGGACTACAGTTTAAATTTTATACTGTGCCCGGACAGCGCAGACGCAGACGCGGAGCAACTGAGAATTGTTATTGACAATGATTCCAGATATTTAAAATGAATTTAAAATTTATAGGTATGTATTTAGTATGAAGTCATATAATATTATATATAATTCTCCATTAAATCCTACTATCTGCATGTTTTACTTTAAAAGATTTTAAAAACCTTTTTAAAATATCTAAAACGACAGTTCTACGCGACAACGACTACTGTGGGACAGTGTTATGTAATAAGTATCCAACGGGTCGCGATGACCTTGTTAGTTACGGATCGAGATTGGTATATAGTTGACAACCTTGGCGCGAAACCTTGAGCTTCCGGGTCACCAAGCACCAAGGGTGGGTATTTCTGCTTATTAAAATGTAGGTATATCAAGTCTTATTCGTTTAAGCACATATAATATAGCTGAGTTTTTAGTATTATTAAACTACAAGGGCAAACTTCAAAAACTCACATTGTACTTGTTTAGTTTCTCTTTTTTGTTATTCAAGCACGAAAAAAATTTGTTTAAATCCATTAAAGATTTTTTATCAGTCCACCGCGTGGACGTGGGACTGTCCCATAGTCAGGAGAATAGTAGAGATGCTACAGACGTGACACAACAAATCGTTATTTCCACAACCTTCGTAAGAGGCGAAAGAGGGAAACTGAGGCAGAAGATGCGCAGCAACAATTTTACGTGGTAGAGATATGCTGCAGCTATATTGCGGTTGCAGCACGAATGGGTCGGCTCTACCGGGGTAGGTCCACGCTCTAACAGAATACCAGCGTAAAATATCATCTTAAAGCGGCTGTGTATCGTATGGTGAGTATAGAGAACCGGAGACCCTTTTTACTGGAAACGAGGCATTCCATTTCAGTCCTCAGGGGTGATAACGCATCTGCATTTTCATTCTTAATTGAGGATAAATGTAGATGTGTATGGACCACAGCATCCACTTACCATCTGGTGGACTGTGTACTCGTTTGCCACCCTTATTTTTATATTATAAAAAAAATACGATAAGAACTCACAATAATAATAAACTGCGTTTGTCAACCAGTATGTGGCAGAATATAGAACTCCACTACTGAATATAGGATTGTCCTATATTCAGTAGTGGAGTTTGATAGGCTGTAATTATGATGATGAAATATTAAACATAAGTTATTATTGTTCTTTTTTCTTTTCTTTTATATATTATTGACACATAATCAGTATTCTGTAACAACAGTTGGTTTTCAAATCCAATTGATGCGCTACCGCAGTACATCGAGATATAGCACGTTGCTAATGCGTGATTACATATTGTTTCACGTGTTTAACTATCTGAACAATTGGTGTTCAGCTCGTTGAAAATGTGATTCTTGTGAAATACGATTATGTCCTAATAATTCTAAGACCTTCGAAGACCTCCAAAAAGTATTTTCATTATCATCGTCATTACAGCCCTTCCACACTCAAGTCCACTGCTTAACATAGGCCTCCCAAAAAGAATGCCACAAAGCAAGTCCTGAGCCACCTCCATCCTTCAACTTCCTGTATGATATTGTCCGCCACCCTACACTTCACCTACCGATACGAGGCTGCCATTCGAGAACCTTTTTTCCCCATCGATTGACGTGTCTTCGAGCTATATAGCCATTGCCACTTCAGCTTACTATTCTGTTGGGCTATGTCGGTTACTCTGATTCTACGTCAAAATACGGTACTAAGGGCTAAATATTTATAAATGAAATAGATATTTAACGTCTAACTTTTTAATTATACTTAATAATCTATTAAAAGCCCCATTAAAAGTCAGCTCCCTCTAATAAAGGGAAGAATAAGGCGTCATCACCACGCATGGTAGGCTGATTAGCATTCCTAACAGCGCAGACCGCAGACCATTTGTGCAGTTTTATCGAATGTGTGTACAAAAATCGGCGCAGAATTTTTGGTTGGTGCAAGCCATCGGAGCAAGGTTTAAAATCTATTCGATAAATCGTCGTCGATCGCGTTTGCACAGTTTTATCGTAGTGTGTGTACGGAATTCGGACCAATCATTCAGTTCGTTTGCAAATTCGTTCGTTTCAGGAGTGATTTGACTGAGAGCATGTTTTGATATCAACGTAGAAAACTGCATACATTCGTACGAGCGACTTGTAGCTAAAAACCTCAGAGTTGCAGACAATCTTTCATCAGAACTTATTGCTTCTCTCATCATAGTATTGCTTTTTTGTATTAGCGGTGTAACTAAAAACAGGAGGTGTAATACTAATAAAGAGTATGACTTTCTTTTAAGAAGCCAATCCCTACACCACATACTACGTGATTTTCTTTTCTCTTTGCACAAAACAAGCCAGGCTAGCGCAAGCGCTTCATCGTTTTCCATCACGAATGACGTGTTTTCCTACTGAGTTTCTGCCGAGAACTGATGATCGACGTAGATATAGTAGATGTGTGGACGTTCGTTTGCGCAGTTTTATCGTTGCCGTGTATACCGGGCTTTACACGCGGTAGACATCTCGCTTTTTTGACATTTTTGAAACAGCCATCTCAACCTCCACGGCCATTATACCCTCTATGCCACGGAGTGAATTGAAGTGATGAATTCTAATACGGAAAACTTTGATACAGATGGTGAAATTTCGGCTGAGTTTATTTCGATATGAGCACGTTACTTACCCTAAATGCGTGTTTCGAATGTGCGCTTCTATTGACGAACAACTGTTGGTAATGTGACCGCAACCTCGCCAGGTGCATTCAAATACGACGCTGTTTATCTGTGAACAAAATAAATTGCAGTTATTAACCGGAACAAAAAACTAGTATACGCGATAAATTAATATTTATATTAATCGACTCCACCGAGTCTTTGTTCTTAGGGAGATGTATACGTTTTTACAACAAAATCCCAAAAAACATACAACGTTTGACCTCCTGAAAGTTCAAATACTCACTCAATTAAACAAAGTTTGTATAGAAAGGTTATTATTAAGGAAATTAGGGATGACAATAACCCCTAAGAATGAGGTGATCGCTACCAAGCTATTTTTAATTTGTTTTGTGTAACATGTATGCTTGTAAGCTGTTATTATTTTTCCGAAAAAAAAAAACTGGGTTTCTTGCTGAATCTTCCCACGACAGAGGTTTATTCCGAAACCAGTAGTAAATTAAACAAAAGAGTAACTTTCAGTACGTATTATTTAGAATCTATATTGAATAAACAAGTTTATGTTTCTGTTTTAATGTCGTCAAATATGTATAATGATTACCTAATCATTATATCTCGGTATCTTTGGCTAAGTAAAGTAGAACTGCAACATCAGTAGAATATCTCATTGTGTTGAATAAACTGTTACACTGAATAAAATGATAGTTTTTATTTGTTATTGTAATATTTTTTTGAGTATAATTTAATAGTATAACACGCGTCATATTTATAAGTACCTAAGTATACAAAGTTCCAACCTAGAATATCAAAATCAATAGAAAAGGAACGAATGCTTAGCTGTCTTGATGGGATTGGTAGAATATTTATAATACTGTTACGAGCTTAGGGTTCGTGACAATAAAAACTGCCAATTGAATTACCAAAATTGACACTTTTACACTAGATGGCGCTAGGGGCATCAATTATGGCTTGCAACAGTACTATAAAGTTATATATAATTATAATGCAATAAATTACTACTGAATACTGCATAAACTACGTAAAACAGGAAAAAAGTTTGTTAAGTTAAAACAATTTTTTTTATATTTTTGCGTGGTCTTTGCCAAAAAAATCATTATTACGGACGAAAGTCAATATAGGTATTTCCTTTGTAGAGTTTAATTACATATTTGCATAATCTCAAGTTTTGATTCATCACATTAAATATCATTGTTGCAAAAAAAATGCGTAATGTGATGTTGCGGGTGCTGACGGAAGCGGCTCTAGGTCGCGGCCTTGGCGCTGCCGCAATAGAGCGCGCGCCCTCGTGCGCTCGTGTGCAGCCACACCCGCGCATTGAAGCCGTACCTATGTGCATAGTTATAATGCGACTACGATTATCCGATCCTAAAAGCTAGGAATTCTTTTTATTTTTAATAACATAAATTTAATTAAGGAAATTATAGGTAAGTAAAAATTTTTAATTATACATACTTTATTAAATTATTATAATTATTTCTGACTAGTTATGACTGAAAAAAAAACGCAAAGCTACTTTTTGTCCAGTGTCAAATAAGAACCAGTCAATAAAAAAGGGCTCGAAACTTCAATTTGTATTCATAATGTATTTACATACTTGTATTTTATTTGTAACTCTATGGATTTATTTTGCACCTCACAACACGCGAGCGTGTGGTAGTGATCTACTCTCGGCATGCCGCTATGTGTGACGATTTTGCAATATAAAATTGTTAGTACTCTATGTCTCAATTTAGACACTAAATTAATAAAAAAAAGGATGTTTTGAAAATTAGATAATTATATTAAATTATTAAGTATTTTTTTTAAATCTATTTCTTTAGTGATATTTCCATCTATAAATATAAAAAATGTAGCTAAAAATTATTAAAACGGTTGTCGATTAGTCTGTCTACACGTTTCAGAAAAATACGCAAATAAATGAAATAAATCTTTCTGAATAAGTTTCCATTTATCCTCAGGATAATACAGGAGCAACAGGGATCATAATCATATTGCTGGTTGTTATCAGACCTATAGACGTTTAAAAGATATTTATATTTTTTAACAAAATCAAATGATATTTTGATGAAAAAAATAAAATCGCAGATGAGGTGGGCAATTTTGAATTTTCAAAAACTACCTTATTTTTCTTGAAATTAAAGTTTTCGACAAACTCCGACGATAAATACTTATTTCGTTATGATTATTAGCTTATAATTAATATCGCTAATATATAGACGACTGGGCCCAATATGTCAAAGCTATGTCAGGTACGTGAATTGGGTTGCGCGCGCGGAAGGCGATTGTTCCCCGCCTGGTAACTGCGGCTAAATCAAGTGCATTTGTAACTAGGCCAGGTCACGTCGAGTGGGGTGAGGGAGGGTGAAAGGGGACAACATCTAGGTCGTAGCACCACGGCCAAGGGTGGTCGGCGAAGGTTGCAACCAACTTCACCTCATTCGAGGACAACTATTATTAATCTTTTTAAATGTGAAATTGTGTAGGTATCAAAGGAAAAAAATACATTTAGGCATTTATAGCTTATCATATTCATATCAGATTAACAAAAAAAGAAAGACGATGCTTTCAAGTGATACTAAAAACAAGCCAAAACCCTCCTCAACTTATTGTAAGAACACGCACTCACGTACACGTAACTAAAACCATTTGCGACCAACATGGTTTTGACAGCAGCAGTAAACTTTTTAAGCCTGATAAAAAAGAACAAAGAAAGTTGTATACGTATGTGCGTCAAGCAGGTATATAATCAGACCCTTGAACGAATTAACCACTAGACCCAACATATAAGCGGACGTACCTATACCGGTCTTGTCAGTAACCAGGAAATACTAGCCTTGGTCGTTTATTTTTGCGTCAGTCTCAAGTACTTACTTGTCAACAAAACATCTACCAAAAATGACTAAATGTTCAGTTAAAGGGTGTAAAAACTATAGCGGCGGAAGTAGCACTATTTCTTTTCACTTGTAAGTACATTATTTTATTACATTTATTGTTATTTATCACAAAATTTAATCAAATGTAAAATAAAGTTTTGTATTATCCACCTGTGTTAAATATAGTCGATATTTCTATGTATTATTGACATCTGACAACCATCACAATATGGCTGTATTATACCATTCAGAACGAATAACAAACTGTGGAGAGAGTCAATTAGACATCGACTATTGCTTGACCATGTCGAAAAATATATCGATATTTGACGATATGACCGAATGAATGATGATGTTATTTGTACAATACACAACACACTTAAAAATATTTATATAACAGTATCCTTCAATGTCATTAAATTTATAACAATAATTTTTATAATTAAATAAAAATTTTTATAATTAAATAAAAATATTATAAATGCAAAAATTATAATTAGTATCTGTAACACATAAATTACACGAATTTTCAGATTTCCCAGTGACCCTTCTCGGAAAAATAGTGGGTAGAAGCAGTTCGTAAAGATGAAACCTGGATTCCGACGAAACACAGCGCCATATGCAGTGTACATTTTGATACTGCCTGTTTTAATACTAATGCAAAGAAACAGAAAATGACACCAATGAAAGCAGTCTCATTGCCCATAAAGACAAGGGAAAACTGATACTTCCCTCAAGTGATACCACAGCTATTTGTTAGCACTGCGAACTCGAACTTAGGAAGGGTGTTCAGAATAAAAGACTAAAAAAAGATTACACAACAGACTTTCTTCTGCCGAAAGTAACAGAAACATTTCTGCAACTTCCGTTGTACGAAGACATTCATTTCCATAAATTTGAAAACGACAACGTGAAACACGTCGAAGAATTAACGAAAACTGAAAAGTATTTAAATATTAGAATTGCTTATACCGGGTGGCCCATAAGTCCCTTGAAATGTAAAAAAATAATTTAAAAAAACTAATGACATTATGAAAAAGGTTTTTATTTTTTCATAATCCTTATAAAATGGGAATTATTTTTTGAAAATTACATCATCTAAATGTAATCCGTTACGATCGCGGCGCTCCTGTAAGCGACGTTTAAAATTATCCATGACTGCGCGGCAAGTAAGCTCTGCAATGTTTGCCATTTCTCTTTGGATATTTTCTTTCAGGACGTCAATTGTCCGCGGGTTGGTTTCGTACACTTTAGTCTTAAGATAACCCCATAAGAAAAAGTCCATTGGGGTCAGATCTGGACTACGTGGTGGCCAAGGAATATCTCCTCTTCGAGAGATCACTTTATTAGGGAAAAGTTGACGGACGACCGGCATAGCGACGTTAGAGGTATGGGCAGTTGCTCCATCTTGTTGAAACCAGGTCCGCGTATTGAAGCCTGGAAAATTCTGCAACTCTGGTGTAAAAAAGTCCTGGATCATAGCTACATACCGTTGTGAAGTAACAGTAAGCGCGCGGCCTCTGCCGTCCTCAAAAAAGTAAGGGCCTATAATGCCATGCGCTGACATAGCCGCCCAAACTGTCACTTTAGGGCTATGTATGGGCTTTTAATGTTTGCGATTTGGATTTTCGCAACTCCAGTAGCGACAATTTTGCTTACTAACATGGCCGTTGATGTGAAAGTGAGCCTCATCAGAGAATAACACGTTATTAAACGAAGTAAAGCGGTTCAACATTTCATTTGCGAAATTTAGTCTGTGGATAGTGTCAGTATCTTTTAATTCCTGTACTATCTGAATCTTGTACGGGTGAAGGTGTAAATCTTTCTTTAAAATTCGCTGTAACGATGTTCTGGGTAAGTTTAATGCACTGGAACGCTTACGAGTAGACTGGGTAGGATTTTCACGAATTGAGTGTTTCACTACATCGATGTTTTCTTCCGTCCGTGATGTCCTTGGTCGACCTGACCGTTGTTTATCCAACGTCGAACCACTCTCTTCGAACTTAATAACCCAGTTCTTAATCGTTTGAACACTTGGAATGTCTTTAAAGTTGCGTAAATTCTGATATTCTCGAAATTTACGCCGCGCAATGGTAGCCGAATCATTGTTTCGATAAAACTCGCGCACACGAAATGCACGGTCCGCACCGCTGAAACGCTCCATGGCGACTGAATTCCCAGAAACCGTCGGTACTTCCCCCGCACCGCGCGCGCC